TTGCGTGTGTGTGTGTGTCTCTCTCTCTCTCTATAGCAAGTATTCTCACAAAAACCCACTAACTCCCTAACTCAAACTCTTCTTTTTCTCCCTTATTTGATGGATAGACTAGCGAAATTTAATTTAGGCACTAATAAAAACTAAACCTAAGTTTAGGCTAGTAAATCACATTAAACTAAATTATATCAAATTTCATCATATACTTAATTAAATCATTAAAATCTAATTTAATTTAAACTAAACTTAGTCATACTAATATGAATTATGCAAATTATCATTATTCAGTCATGTTTAAATTATTGAATTAGAAACTTATAAACTCATAAATTTTGCAATTAAATACAAGACAACCTCAATCTTCTTAATTACTTTAATGTAGAATATTATACGTAGCGAGGTTGTCACATATGTTTAACTTCAACAAGGATTATGGAGACTCGAACCTAAATATGTCATTTGTAGGTGTTTTTTGGTATTTGTTATGGGTGGATCGATTGTTCGGAATGGTACCCAATAGCTCTTCCCGCTCAGTGAGTAGCTTAGTACTAGTAACTTCCTTTATTTTGGCCTTGTTTGGAAATAGGCTTTTTTAATGACTTTTTTATTTTTTAGTTAAAATATGATGTAAAAAAAAATTAGTATATTTAAGAAGAATTTTTTGACTTTTTATAAAAAGATATAAAAAAAATAATATAAATAAGTAAAAATGAGTAAATTGACATTTTTGCCCTTCAAAAGTGGGTTCTATTCAATCCGTGAGAGAGTGAATCCACCTGACATGTTGTCCAGATATGCATGGGAAATAGGGGGGTGATGCCACAAAATGTTGGATTTCATATAATGGACTTCACCGATTTTTATATGTAATTTTTTTTTTTTGAAATGTTCAAATTAAACTTCATCAATTTTGTATTTCGAAAAAATACTCATAAAAAAAAAAAATTTGTTCCAATTTTATTGATGAAAATACTTTGTTGTAATTTGTAAAATGTAATAATTGTACTAATTTTTTTATTTATAAAAAAAGTCTTTTCAAAACTCATTACGAAACTATTTTTACAACTTCCCTTATGATTGTAAATATTTCAAAACTCTTTTCAAATGTTCATTCAAAACTCGTGAACACATCAACACCAAAATCTTTGCAAAACTCTATTTTTCCCAAAAAGTATATAAAAATAAATCAAATATTGGACTTCATTAATTTTGTATTTCGAAAAAGTTCTCATAAATAAAAACTATTAATTTACAAAAATGTTATGTTGGAATTTGTGAAATGTAATCAGTTTGTTTGATTTGGTTTTTCAGAATTCACTTATCAAAAAACTAGAATTTTAAGTATTCCGTATTTTTTTTTTTGCACTAAATTATTTTAATATTCGAAGTAATTTATTTAAGTATTAGATACACTCAATATAAATACATTGAAAAAATAGAATATTTGTAAAAAGAATCTTTAGAAAATTAAATAGCAAAAATAAATTTTAAAAAAAATTAGGAGAATGCAGTACATTTTCTGTGTTGTTGTGTAATTATTAATTTTGTTACAAATATTGTATTTTTTAGATACATGTACAAAAAGGTGCTTCTAGAAAAGTACAAAAAAATTGCTTAAAATTTTAAATGTACTCGCTAAAAAAAAAAAAAAACACACAGAAAACCAAAAAGTCCAATTTCCAATAAATTCATAATCTAGAAAATTTAAATCAAATACAGTGAATAATTTTGTTAATCCTTTGTTTTAAAAGTCTTTTCAAAATTTACAACCAAAATGTTTTCAGAATTTCATTCAAAATTACATCTAAACTCTTTTTAAAACTCCATACATAACTCATAAACAAACATAACCAAACTCTTTGCAATATTCTATTTTTCGAAGTAAAGATTTAAAAATAAAATCTAAGATGGGACTTCCCCTGATTATTTTTTCCGAAAGAATACCTATAAATAAAAAACTATTACATCCTCAATTGCTGAAAATGTGTAGTTGTAATTTTTTAAAGTGTATCTTTTTAGTTGAGTTTTCATATTTATCCTTAATTTTAATCACTTCTCCAAAGTTAGGTTATTAAGAATCAAATTAAAACACTTTTTATACATTAAGAATTAAATCGACATAATTTAAATATTAAAAGTAAAATGGCATAAATTACATATTTAATTAACCCAAAAGGAAAATATAATTATTGAGAACTGTAGAATTTTTTTTTTCAAGTGTTTGTGTGTCAATTTAGTTCCTAAGATATTTTTATATTCTAATATGTTCCATTATTTGAATATTTGATCTATCAAATCTTACTTCTCATATTTAAAGTATTTTTTGGATATTTCTACTTTTGTAAATATTTTTTGAATATTTAGCAATTTGGTGATGTGAACATTCATATTTTACAATGTGAATATTTACATTGACGTGTGAATGTTTACATTGACAGTGTGAATATTCATATTGTCATGTTAATATTCACATTGATGGTATGAACATTCACATTGACTGTGTGAACATTCACATCACAGAACATTCACACTATAAATGTAAATATTATTAGGACTTATTTTGGTGACTATGTCACTTATAGAACTTATTGGAATATAAAAAAATAATGTGAATTAAACAGAATATAAGTAGGTAAAAAAAAAGTTTATGAAAAAGTGTCCCAAAAAGTAATGTACTCTCATTAGTAGTAGTATTAAGATTAGAAGAAGAAGACGAAGAAAAACTGAAAAAATTGTAAATTTGCAAGGTTTTCCCTTTAATTTACTATTTTGAAACGCGGGGTGAAAAATAAAATAGGTGTTTGGTTATTAAATTGTCTAATATAATGTGAGTAAGAAGATAAGTGTTTGATTGAATGATTTAGATTGGTTAAATTGTAAAATTATTTTTTATCCATTATATTTGATTTCTACCATTAAAAATATGAATAATTTTAGATTATGAAATAATCATGCAAATCATTATTTTAAATTAAGAACCATTAATACAAGTTCTTTTACAATCATTAATGTAATGGAGAGCATCTCAATTGAAAGATAAACTTTAAAGACAAACTTGATGAAATTGAAACTAGAATAGAAATGGAATAAAATAAAACAAACATTTATGTTTAATGTATTTTCAATTGAAATTTTCGGATACAAGAATGAAAGAATTCTGGGCACATAATAAAATCTATGCCCAAACAAGAAGGAGCGTACATTTATTCATTAAATGTCGTACTATTTTTTTTTAGAAGGCGAAAATCACATATTTTCGTTTTCTTAAAAAAATATAAAAATAAAAACACTTTCTTTTTTAAATTAAAAATAGGAATAAAAATTTAAGAAGTGTAATCAAGCATGCTCAAGCAATGGCTAGTCGTGAACTTGACGGCCTTATCGAACTCCGCCACCGGATTATTCCCTCCGACCATCTCCTCAAAGCACTGCTCGCAGCCCGCCACGTCAGACGAGGCGGCAGCGAGGTCTTCGCTGAGCAAGTAATTGTCATTGGCTGCAATATCATCTAAAGCTTTCTTCAAGTCATCAATGGCATAACCAAAATTTTCAACACACTGTTTGAGGCAAACACTGACTGCTGACGAGGTTGATGAGTCTTCTAGAAGGTTTTGGGCTTGTTTGATGCCTTCGTCGGCGCTGTTAATGCCGATGGTGATGAACTTTTCAATAGAGTCTGGGATTTCAGATGATGGGGAAGAGGCCGGCGAAGAGCTTGGGGAGGAGGAGATGGAGGAGACCGGTGTAGGGGCCTCAGCGGAGGTATCGGTGGCTTCGCCAGTGAATGTGCCTAAGATGAGAGAAGATATGGCAATGGTGAGGAGAACACGAGTCTTGATAAGCTCCATTGTCTCTTGTTTTATTTTATTTTTTTTGGTTGATGTTTAAGGAGAAGAGACAATTGGAGAGTTGTTTTATTTTTGGGGGAATGAGAGAAGATTGAAGGGGATGAGGTTTAAATAGCCAATAATACTAGCTACTTAGAAAAATTATAGACAAAAATAACCATAATGAATGGTTGGTTGTGCATGAAAATTGGGATCCCATAGACTTAGTTGCTTGTTTTTGTTTAGGAGATTGCAGATGTTGCTTATAGAGAAACTTTGGCCGCTAATAAGGTACTCTCTTTTATTAGGTGTGATGCTCATATTTGACTTTTCAATGGATGGCTCCTATTCTCTCGTATCAAATGTTTAAAAAAATAATAATAAAAGTTATCTAACATAAAGATTGATCTTAACCTAAACTTTAGTGAATAGACTTGGGTGTTTGGGAAGTGATGTTTTATATAAATTTTTTTAATTGTAGAATATTATTGGATAAAAAAAATTTGATATTTGGAAAGATAGTTAAGTTTTTTTATGGTTGGATGTAATGTTTACGGGAGAAAAAGTGAAATGATTATGGGGTTAGATGTGATATTTTGTTTAGATTTGTTTTTTTTTGGTTTTGCAAAAAAAAAATAAAAAATAAAAAAAAAAACCCAGAATTTTTTTCCCCAAACACCACCTAAATTAGTCTTAATGGGCCGAGATACAAATCTATGCTTTTTTATTTAATTTTCTCATATTATTTTGTCATGTTCACTAGCCAAGTTGACCAGCGAGCTTCTTGTCACAAGCAACACGTACATCGGAGTACTAGCTTAGGCCTAATGAGGTGAAATTCAAACCTATATTTTGTATTTTATTTTTTCATATTTTTTGTCAGGATTATTTTCTTTTAATAATTGTTAATTTGTTAGATTACAATTGTCTAGATTAATCAGCTTAGTTCAACCACACCATAGCCACTAAGGTCCAAAGGAATGGAATATGCCCTAACACTCTCGGTTAGGGCCGAGTCAAATATAGTGCAATTTACAAGCCCTATAAAGTCTGCAATAAGAGAGTGAAGTCATTATTCCAGCTATATTTTTTTTGTTTTAGAAATCATTCAATTTTTTGTTCAATTGTTTTCATTTTTCACACTTATTTGTAAAAAAAAAAACAAAGCACAAGTAATTAAAACCCGAATACTGGAAAATCTCACATGAACGAAAGAAAATAAAATGACAAAAAGAAAACAAGGAATTGATTCAAAACTACCAGGCATATGTACAAACATTTCATCCAGGAAAACCAAACAATAGTTCTCCACACGGAATGATGATAATGAAGGAAGAACCAATTTCCAACCCCCCATCAAAATGAATAAAGCCATTTCCATTTTCACCAAATCCCAGTTTAGAACTCTCCATCTTCACATAGGGAAATTCCTTGCAAACCATGTATCAGATAGTCAAAAAACTTTGGATTAAGGTAAAGGCTTCCAGTGAACTTTGTAAAATTCTCTCATCGTCCTTCATGAAGATCTTCAGAGAATAGAGCAGTGCGAGAAATGTTATCATTATCAAAGGCACCACTTAGAGCAGAGTAATGACCAGACGAGAACATTGAAGACGTCCCATCTGACTCAAAGGTAGTTGATGACTGCCTGAGGTTGGGCCGCACGTTGGAGGAAGTTAACATGGAATCCTGATACTCCGTGATGCGCTGCACCATTTTAAGTGACTGTACCACTTCTCCCATTGTGGGCCTTTGGCTTGCCTCGGGAGCAACACAAGCAGCCGCTATCGTGCAAACCCGTACAAAATCTTCCTTTGGGTACTTCCCTCCTAGTCTTGGATCAGCAAGCTCTTCTAGCCGGTCTTTATCCCTCAGAATTGGCCTGGCCTGCAACCACGCAACCCCATTTAGATTTTATTCATATTAACAATTCAAAATTCAGTTTTTTTCTTTTTTTTTTGCGAATGTCTAAGTGCACAGATGAAATTTACAAAATGGGACACAAATGCAAGAACAAAGGAGTGGCACCCACCTTTTGTCTCACATATGTGTCTATTATGTGATTTTCATCTGTATTCCAAACAATGTTCTGTGTATGTGTGTGTTTTATTTTATTTTTTTGGTGTTAAAAGATAAAAAATAAACAATTAAAAAAAAAGGAGCACAAACCAATACAAATGATTGCAATCAGGAATCATGACTGAGAATTATTAAATAAAACATATATAATATATTAATCAGGTGCATTATTACCCAAGTAACAAGGTTCTCCTGTCTTGATGGTTGGGACATATCAACAGGCTTCCTTCCAGTCAGCAACTCAAGGAGGACGACTCCATAGCTGTAGACATCACTTTTTACTAGTAGGTGTCCAGTCATAGCATATTCAGGGGCTACATAGCTGTGATACAGTTTTATCCCATTTTAGTGTAAATTATCTAGAGGAAAAGACGAAGGTTAGGAAGAGAAGTGAGACTAACCCAAATGTGCCCATCACACGAGTAGATAGGTAATTTGCCCTGCCTTCAGGCGCTTGCTTAGCAAGGCCAAAATCGGCAACTTTAGCATGAAAGTTGTTCTCAAGCAATATATTGGATGCCTTGAAATCTCTGTGGATAACACAAGGTTGGGAGTCTTCGTGCAGGTATGCAAGTCCTCTAGCAGCATCAAGTGCAATCTTCATTCTGGTGTCCCAATCCAGCGGACAATTTACTCCCAATGGACCTAAAGCAAAATCAGAACATTATCAGCAGTATATAAACTTAATGGCCAAGTCTATGGTACAAAACCTTCAAAAAAGGCACACCATATCATATGCAAGTTATGCCCAATGTGGTGTAGGCTATGTTACATGGATTCTTGAAATTACACCAAATATCCATATTAGACACCCGACACTTGGACAAGGGTGTGAGATAGATAAGTGTTCGATACTTTATATTAGACGCTTACATATTTGTATTTAGCATTATCATTATGTGTAGTTATTGTTATTTACTGTATGATGTATGACCGTATTGCGCTAATATGGATACATCCTGATACCGTTATTTAAAACCATGAGTATGACTTGATGTGGTCGGGCGGTCCACCTATGGTCAAATCAATGTGGGACCAACCTTGGTTACAACCCAAAGTGCTGTTTGATTATGTCACAAAGTGGTGTTGGTAAATTTAATAGAAAAAAAGTAATTAGCAATTCTACTTGATAAATACTCTTTTTGCTGAATTCCTCAGCAGATATTCAATCTTCACTTGTACTCTACCATAAAGGGATATATCAATCAATTGATGCCAAACGAATCTTTGTTATAACAACTTACCATGAAGCCAAGCCTCCAAACTTCCATTTGGGACAAGCTCATAACAAAGTAGGTTCTGTGAGGAGTCACAACTGCTATAATAACCCACAAGTTTCACAAGATTACGGTGATGCAACCTACTAAGCATGTCAACCTCAACTAGAAATTCTTTATCCCCTTGTTGCCCTCCATTAGTAAGCCTCTTTATTGCTACAGCTGTACCATCACTTAATACACCCTTAAAAACTCTGCCAAACCCACCCTCTCCGAGTATACTAGCAGGTTCAAAGTTATTTGTTGCTTCTTTAAGTTCTTCATATTCAAGAAACCGTGTACTAGTTGGGTGGCAAAGAGATCCTGCTGCTGGAACTGCATCCACATTCCTTGGCTTTGCTGTTTAAAGGAGGACAAAGAAAAATTGAGAAAGTAATAAAATAGAAGAGACAGACAGAAATGTAAGATATAAAATAAATTGAAAATCTAATCCATCTCTACTAGTGATTTGATTTTTCTTGGATTGCTGTATAATCATCCACCTTAATATTTTCGAGCTGATAAATAGTCTTCCTCTGAGAACTCTCATGATGAAATAGTTAATAGAATTATCTTAATTATTTTAATTTTCAGCTACCATGTTTTGAACTTTTGGAAATCAAAATGACAGAGCCATTTTCATTTTCATTTTCTTGAGCTCAAATTTTTGATAAGTTAGAAAACACTTCAAAAATAGTATTTTTGGAAATGTTTTGCTTTCAGAAAATTTCTTCAAAACACTTCTGCCAAAGGAATTGTCCCTTTTATTTTTTGCGAGCAGAAAACAGTTCCAAAAACAAGTCCATTCCAGACAATGGAGGAACCAGAAATCATGGGCAGGGAAGGCCATGACATGGAGAAGACGAGGTGTGGAATTTTAAGCTATGACTATAAGAACCAAAGCATCTAAGAGAAAATTTTAAAGCCAGTCGAGGCCAGGGGATGCCACCGACTTGGTCTGACTGTAGGTCCACTACTGATTCCCGAGTTCCATATACTGGACAAACACTGATCTGAAATTTGTGAAAAGCTTCCAAATAATGGTTTTAACAAAAATTCTTCCAAAGAAAAGAACATAGACTTGGTATGCTAGAGCAAAGTAAGGCAAATCAACTTAGCAAAACCAGGTCCATAAAACTTGGCCAAAAGCATTGTAAGGGCATCTCCAACGTTTACTCATTTGTTTCATCAGATTTGAGTAAAAACTCCATCTGATATCGCGCATCCCAACGGACTATCATCATATCACAGGGTCGACTGGGAGGACAACCGGGCAGGCCTTCCAGCGGTCAACTGGCCAGTGTAATTTTCATTCAAATCTGATATATATTGTGGGCAATTTTTCACCTAAGTGGTCTTGGTGTTGTACTACCTGCAACTCCAACAACTATGAACAGTGAATTGATGAAAGACACAAACATCCTCAATTTGATGAAAGACTTGAGATATCCTGGATTTGATACTTGTTTGGTGAAAGGGTTGGAGCAAAAGGCCTCTCTTTTTATCAAATTCAAATTTGATAAAAGAAAAGGTGTTGGGGTTGGAGATAGTCTAAGATGGTAGATTTAATTATTTTATTCCCATGGAAACAAGACCATTTTTCTTATTTCCATAGCATTTAAGACACTCCCATTTTTGTGAATAAGAAATCAAAAAAAAAAACAGAGTCACTGCCCATAAAAATAAAAAAATAAAAAAAATAAAGTTACATGATATGATATTTTGGAATTTGCTAATTTAAAATAAAAAATAAAAATCAAATGCTGTGCAAAAGAAAGGAAAATTATTTAATAAAAGCTGGAGGAAGAAGAAGAAGAAGAAGAAGAAGAAGAAGAAGAACTATGTTCTTTTGGCTGCCTCATCTCAGATAGAAGTTATCTGTTAAGTTCATCCAACTGATTTAGCTTTTTATCAATTACCGTACATCATAAATAAAATAAGATAGAAAAAAAAGACTTTCGTTCAAAACACATTACTTTTGCAGGGAAAACTTTTGGGGTGTTTTCCAAATTTAGAAACACATCGCAGTTTCTGCCTATGGTTTGTTGTTGAATGAATAATTAATAATGCTAACAAAAGAGATTAGTAAAAGGGAAGAGATAAAAATGCAATAACATAATATAAGGACCTAAGATTCCATTTCATCCATACCAGTCTCTTTACTAGGTGCATTTGTCTTCCCTTGATGAGAACATGAACATATTATGAGGACGGATATAACAGCAATGATCAGGATGGCAGCAACAATTCCAACAATAAGAATCAAATTTGGATCTTTCCCCTTGTTCGAAGTGCCAAGTGATGTAGGAGTTGAGGGCAAGTGCGGAGATGCTTTTGTGGGTGATGTGGCAATAAGGGGAGCTGTCCATCAGTCACAAAGCTTTTAAAAAGGCAACAAAGAAAAATAGGGAAAAATAAGCAAAAGGTGCTACAGAAAGCTCAGTTTGAACATACAAGCTGCCATTGATAATATCAGTGTGGTGCCCCCACCTCCGTGGAAAGGAAAAAGAGAACCATGGAAGACAAATAAAATACCAACATACACTCATTAAGAGCATTTGAATTATATCAACTTACAACTTGCAAACAAAGTACTCTGCCTGGTTAAATTAATACGTCCTCAATAGTGAATGTGATCCTAATCATTATGTGATTAATGCAAGCACAAGATTACTGTATTAACCACAGCTTTTGGGGAATGACAAGTTCACTTTTCCACTAGAGATTAAAAAGAATCTCTGTTAGAAATTTTGTAGCATCCAACCCCAAAAACTAAGGCTAAGTTTGGCATGACCTAAATAATACAAAAAGTCAAAAAGTCATTATCCTATTTAAGTCACATCATCTTATTTAAATCACATCACCTCTCTAACACATCACATCAAACCCAACCCAAACCCAACCCATATAAGCCAATAAGTCAAAAAGTACACTTTTTTAGAACATCCCAAACCAGCCCTAATTGGCATGGGGTTACAAGGCTAACAATAGGTTTAGCCTACACGCTAAAGGTTCAACTGATGCTCTTGCTATTCCGAAGCTATATTATCCAAAGCACACATGGTGACCAAGTGGGATACAAATGAACCAATGTGCAAATGTACCTAGCATGCACATTGGCTTGGGTTGGGCCTTGTCTACACGATGGTGGCATAATTGAATGATTGCAGATCAAATATGCTGTTGCTCAGCTGATTAATTGTTAGTAGATTGCACAAGGCTTGTCAAACATGCAGGCACTTCTCTAGTGCTGTGTGCATCTTATGTTACCTTTAATCAGATTCTAGTGGTAGGGCTGCATCATTGAGCCACAATTGTATATTGCTTGTACTTGTTACTTGAGTTGGTAGGTCTTGACAGGTGATTCTAGACACCACATTGTCACTTCCACAGTGTGTTCTGTTGGACCATGGTGCATATGACTAGGACTGGGAAAAACCCAAACATAGAGAGAACACTGCTGTAATCAGCAGCTGTGGCTGTGATTAATTGTTGTAGCTACAATGCATTGCAGGGAAATATATCACACTAAATTAGTTCATCAATAAGTTGCAAGTGGACAACAGCAGTATGAATCACCAGCCATAAGTCTAATATACTTTTAAGTTATTTCCAATTTCAAAGGGTTAGACTATTGAACATGCATGATGAAAGGGGAATCCTAACCTAACAACACAAAAGGTCAGGTAAAACTTACCAGGAGATGGAGCAAGGGGCTTAAACCAGGTTATGTTGAGAAGCTCATAATCGCCCACTAAAGTAGGGTCCAAATGAACCCTATGCGTAGAGAGTGAAGAGTTTATTGCAAATGCTTCACTGGCAGAGAAACTGAATCCTGTATGTGGAGTAACATCCATTGAAATATTAAGTCCTGATAAACCGACAACATAAAAGTTGATCAACTCTATCTGGGAAACCCGCAAACCAAGTTGAGAAGCAAATTCTTCTAAAAAAAGACTCCAATTTGGGTTTGATGAGACATTCAAAAGGAGAAGGTCAATCTTTATAGGGTACACGCAATGGCAATCCTGGGACCCTCGTTTCAGCACCATGTCTGGTCCGCAACAGTCTGGAGAATGATAATTCAAAGCCTATGTTAATACCAATGTAAGATGCCAGAACAAGGAGGGGTTGCATGAAAGTAGAAAAACAGTCATAGAAATTGATTACTCATGAAGCAAGTTTTTATTAAGTGTCCTACTTGTATTTCCCATTAAAATTTTATTTACGAGAAATAATTTAATTAAAATTTATTACATTTGTTCCCAGACTAAAAAAGCAATAAACAACAAAGGAGTAGAAATTGATAAAAGAAAAACTGGAGAAAAAGAAAGAGAACAGTGACATATATCTTACTGGAGGCAAGAGGAGACAGTGGCGGCTGAGCTAAACTGGTAGGAATTGTACTGGCACTGGATGGTGTTGGAGCAATATTTTCCAAACGAGGAGGCGCTAAGCCGCTCTTCTTCATTGATGGATTTGACGGGCGTGAGCTTTTAGAGGGTGGAGTAGAAGTTACTAGTGGGCCATAATTTGGAGGCTGAGATGGTGCTAGAACAAGCTTTGGAGCACCATGAGGTGAAAAGTGTTTCCAGTGTGGCTTATGGAATGACGGTACATTGGCTGGCAGGGGCAGATCAGGATTAGCAGGAGCAGCTAAAGGTGCTCTTGTTGGAGATACCAAGTTTGCTCCAAATAGATTATTGAGTAAACTGGCATCAGTGATGTATAACACATAAGATAAAACAAGCAACTGCTTGAGCACAAACCATTGGACCTTTTCCAATGCCCCTGCAAAGACAAAGGTCAACATATTAAAGAGCAAGAGAAGCATACCAGCAACAATGGAAGGACTAGGGGAAAAGCATACAAACCCACCCCCCCCTCCAAAAAAAAAAAAAAAGCAATTGAAATTTCACATGGCTTGTGACTTCTTCATCCACCAAGGGCCAGAGATGGAAAGCCATTCCAAATATGCTCATCTGAGCAAAAACTTATTCGCACAAAGTAGAGCTAATGCTCTATTTTATTGTTTGACAACTGGTAGAAAAATGAAAACACATCTAGAACAAAAATCTTCAAGAAAGAGGGGGGAAAATATATATATATATATACATGGGGGAGAACAAATGAAACTATCTTAAAATGTTGTCAGAGTAAATACCAAGTCATATTTTTTCAAGTATAATATATTTATAAAGAAGATACTAGTCTTTGGTTATAACTCATTATGGTGTTGGTTATAACTTAAATATGACCTACTGTGGTTGCCATTTTGAATATATGCGAAGAGATCTTTGGTTATGTCTCAATTGGTGGTCATTTTGGTTATGACTGAAAATGATTTGATTATGATACAAAGTGGTAGCAACCCCACAAAATGTCATAACTTGCGTATATACTACCCACCTTTTTAGGGTATGGTATTGTAGAATCTCCCAAACTATATTCTCACTTATTGGAAATATATATCATCTATTTGAACATTTTGGTCTCAATTTCTGGAAGCCAAAACAATCAAGATCTTTTCCTTAACAAAACAGACCCTAAAACAAACCTTCAATCAAATATGATAGTCTTCTGTGTGTTTATGAACAAAACGAAAGTAAAATGTCATATGTATGGAAAAAATAATTCTTCACTGAAGCTAAACGAAAGTAACTGATTATCATCAGTCCCCGAGCTTCCAGGAGAAACATTTTCAGAAAAACTTTTTCCCTCGAAACAAACAGAGCCTAATCATCACATATAATCAACAAAATGAACTGCATTCTATAAATTCACACAACACACAAACACCAAACTGCAAGTCAATTACAACACCAAAAAATGTCCGATTTATATCGAAGAACCATGATTATGAGTCCACAAGCTTCCAGGAGAAACATTTTCAGAAATATTGTTCACTAGAAAGAAAGCCAGCCTAATCAGTGACCCTAACAAGAGCAACTTAGAAATTACAGCAACCAAATCATCACATATTATCAACAAAATGAAATGCATTCTATAGATTCACGCAAAACACACTCTACAAAAGTCGAAATTACAAGAAGCTGAAGAAGAACACACCAGTGCCGACAGAAACAGCGAAGAAACGCCTCAACACCGACATTGTTATCCAGATCTGCAATAATAGTCAACCAAACCGACGGCCAGATCGCTCCGCAGACGAACAGACGACTCTGAATATACCAAAAAACACCACTAGTAGCAAAAACAATTTGTATCCGCCATTGAATGAGGATCGAACGGTCGCGATATAATCGGAATGTGAAGCCGAAATTGAGAGTTTGGAGACTCGAATGCCATTGTTGAGCTTCGAGAATTCAATCTTCTTCTTTTAGAGAGAGAGAGAGAGAGAGAGAGATAGAGTTATTATTATCACTCTTTGGTGGGAGATATCGTTCGCTTCACTCTGTAATCACTACTGAAGCTTTTGATTAACTTCTTCTTTGTATTTTTATTCTGGTTTTTTTTTTTTATTTAATTGAAGAGCTTGCTTTTATTTATGTTTGTCTAACGTGCGCTTTTGACGGAAGTGTATTTCAAACGGTAAAAAACCATCACTGTCATTCACGTCGCTGTTAAAAACGTCTGCAAGAAGATGGCTTCTGCAAGAAGATCTGTGCTGCCAGTGCACGGTTCTTCCCTGCTCCGCTTTTATTTATCTAATGCTTAGAGCATCTCCAACGGTAGTAGGCATTTTACCTATTCAAATATTACTATAAAGTATATATTTTATTTTGCCTATCAACTGTTTTATGTTTTTACTCCAACCATGCTCTTTATTTTAGCTATTTATCCAAATACTATTAATTTTATAAAATGCCACGTCAACAATAAAGATGGAGGGAAATGATCCTAATGATTGAATACATTTTGCCTAGCGTTGAAGGCTAGCTACATGTAGCTAGTGAATATGAGTTGAGCCAAAATGCCTAATCATATGCCTAGTACATTGGAATTGAAAAAAGTGAATCACACTAGGCATTTTAACTAACAAGTATTATATGCCTAGTGCATTGGAGATGCTCTTATGTGCGGACAATATGTGCTAAGTTTTAGGGATTATTTGGAATGATCTAAATAAGTGTATTTTTTTTTGAAATATGAGTTATGTATGGATTGGATTTAAAGTGATGTGGTAAAGAAATGATGTGACTTAAATAAAATGATGTGATTTAAATAGGATAGTGATTTTAATTTTTCACAAAATTGATTCTTTTGAAAAACCATGAATATTTGTGGTCCTCCCCATTGCAAACAAAGGATCCATTACATCATTGAATGATGTGTAATATTTTTTTTAATTTAAAATAATTACAAATGAACCTTCCTATTTTATATCCAGAGGTATTCGCGAATCGGTTTTGTGCAGTTTGCCGTTCGATTTTGACTCGCCCACATGTATGCGGTTTGAAAAAAAGTCAAACCACAACCGTCCGCAGTGCGGTTTGTGCGGATAGGGTTTGCGGATGTGCGGACGGTTTGCGGTTTGGATTTTTTTCTTTAAAAATTAAATTTTGAATTTTTTTCCCCATTTTATAAATATTTATTTTTGGTCAAATATCCTTATATAAACTCATGACATATTACATATCCTTATATAAATATTTATTTTTGGTCAAATATCCTTATTTTTGGTCAATAATCAAACATAACAGATTACATATCCTTATATAAACTCATGAATATCCTTATATAATCAAATTCAAACATGACAGATTACATATCCTCCATCTAATCAAATTACAAACTCATGAATCATGTATTGGTTCTGGTTTCATGCAATAATCAAATTCAAACAAAGAAAAATTCTTATATAAACTCAACAAATCAGTGTGCATTGTTTTATGCAATAATCAAATTCAAAGTAAAAGATTATAGATCATTAGATACTTAATCACAATATCTAAACTCATGAATCATGAACTGATTCTGGATGATGATAAACGATCCATGTTTTTTTTATTAAAAAAAAAATTATATTTGGCTAAGTGCGGGCGGGTTGTGGCGGGTGTGGTCCAAACCCGCAACCCGCAAATCTTATATATTCCAAACTGTACCCTACCCTATTCACTTTGCGAAACCGCCCCATACATGTGCGGTTCGGGTCGGGTAGGCCGATTTGTGCGCGTCGGATAACCCTATGCCCAAAACTCTCCCATTACAAACCTGTAACTCCAATTATTCTTTTTATTTTTTACTAGACATGACAAGATTCGGAATGTGTGTATTCGGGAATGGGTAGGAGTAGCACCGATAGAAGATAAGTTGAGAGAGAATCGTTTGAGATGGTTTGGTCATATTCAACGGAGACCAACAGATGCAGTAGTGAAGAGATGCGATGCTGTAACGGTAGATGGAAGTGTTAGGGGACGAGGTAGGCCTAGATTAACGTTGACTAGCGTTATAAATAGAGATATGAATCTACTTAATTTGACTAATGAAATGGCCTTTGATAGGGCCGCGTGGAGAAGAAGGATTCATGTAGCCGACCCCATTTGATGGGACTTAAGGCTTGGTTTGGTTTGGTTTGGTTATACTCCAATGTTACTATTTATTTTACCTATTTGTAGATACAAAGTGTTCAAAGAGTCATCTAAGGCTCTTCAAATGAAAATGCTAGGGATCTCAAATAATCTATCAAATGTTTTACCAAATCTCTTATATAAGTGTAAGACCCACACAAACCCATATGTGTGTGGAGCCGACACCCATATGTGAGAAGTTTGGTAAAATATTTAGTAAGTTATTTGGGATCTCTAGCATTACTCCTTTTCAAATGTGGCTAGCTTTGAAGCATTTTGTTAAAATAATTATTGTAACAGGAAACCGTTGGAGTGACTAAAATATAATAATAGTAGCTATTATACCTAACAAGCCTCATTAATCATTTTAAATAATCTTTTGGAGATGCTCTAATAGAGATAATCAAAATCATTTTAAATAAAAAATATTTATCAATTTTATATAATTTTAATTTTTTTTGTAGATTGATTTTTTTAATTTAAAAATTATTACTTATTTTTGCCAAATTAATTTTAATTTTAATTTTAATTTTTAAATTCAAAAATTTGATTGTGAAATTGGAACTAAACAGATTTATGTTCTCAGTTTAGTTTCATTTCTTGCATTTTCTATAATAAGAATATTGAAAATAAGGAAAATACTAGCCTTCATGAAAAATGTTTTATGAAAATGATCATGAACAAATCTCCATCTTATATTACATTTTATAACTTATTATATATCTAATCTAAGGATCAAAAATTTTTCATAATCATTTATATAAATTTTTTTTTATGATACCTAACATTGCTCGTAAAGCCCGTTAGGTATTGATTTGCGCAGGTATTTGAAAATATTTAGGACAAGTAAAGCCCGTTAGGTATTGATTTACGTAAGTATTAATTTTAATATTTTGTTATACCGAGATTGCAAATTTTGCTACAAAGATTTTTATTTCGGCGTTAATTAAATATTTAGTTTATTGGTTTAAAAATAAATATACTAACATTTATCGTTAATAAAGTTTGTTTATTTAACACTTTCAAGTTTTTGTTTTGAATTATGTTAGGGATCCCAAATAATCTATCAAAATTTTTACCGAACTTCTCACATGAGTGTGGGACCCACAGACATATGAATTTGTGTGGATCCCACATCCATGTAAGAGATTTGATAAAAAATTTGATAAATTATTTAGGGTTCAAAACATTTCCTTTTGTTTTTATTTTTATTTTTCTAATAACATTTTAGAGTAATTAATGTAAATTTTTTTTACTAGAAATACATTTACTACGAGTTACTAAAATTTAGCAAAATAAATGTAGAGTTTGGTAGAGTTTTATAAATATGATTTGATAATAGAGTTGTATTTTGAGTTTGTGAGTTTTGAAATTATGATTTGAGTGTGAAAAATTTGTTTAATGAGTGAGTTTTGAAAAGAGTTTTGAATTAAGTAGAGAATTTTTAATGTGATATATGATATTACTACAAAAAATTTACAACTTATAACTAAGCACACAATTCAAAATTCTATTTAAAACTCATAAAAAAAAATTTGATTTTTTTAAATTTAAAATATAAAAAATAATAAGTGTCAATTGTATAAAATATATATATATATAAAAATTATACTGTACCAGTCAATCGGCCGGATGTCCGGGAGGACGACCAGTTAGCCTAAATTTTCCAGTCTTAAAAAAAAATTCAAAAGTAAATATAAAAATAACTTTTAAAAATTCTAAACAAAAATCATACTAAAACCAAAGATGGAATCATAGTTTTAACATCTAACTAAACACAGCCAAACTTTTAAACTAACAAGTTACCCTTGAAGGCACAGTCAAACAAAATCAAAATATAACAATATCGTGTCATCAACAATTTGCCATATTGAGTCGCACAAAGTAAGGGGTTGTTTGGTGTTTGTGTTGGGCTAAAAAAATTATAAAAGGATAAAAAAAAAGTCAAAAAATTATAAAAAGTCAAAAATCACAAAAAGATAAAATAAAATTCATCTTTCTAAAGCTAAAAAATCAAAAAAACTAATCAAGAATATCAAACGAACAAAAAAATTTCAGACTAAAAAGTCAAAAAAGCCATTACCAAATGAAGGCTAAATGAATTTTATTCGTGATATTGATAGGACCCATAACATCCATTCATAATAGATAATGGATAATAAAATTTAGAAATGATGCATCCCTCTAATTTAGGAACTCTAAAAGAGCACTAATGTTGTAGAAAAAAAAAAATTAAGGCCAAAACATCACATCCCATATATCAATTAGAGCTATTAAAACTCTTAATTTAGAACTCCTAATCTTTTTTCAATAAAATTTTTTTGTCAAATTTTAAAATTAACAACTTTAAATATAATAATATAGTAGGTCATGTTTTTCGTATTTTACACAGAAATTTTTTAAAAAATTTATGAAAATTAAAAAAAAATTGAGTCAAAACAAAATTTATCTGAGTCGATTTTTTTAAAAAAAAACATATCCACCCAAACAAACATGGCTAAAATGCATACAATTTTCTTGTCCCTCGTTAAGATTTTAAATATCGAACAATTTGTGATATACATTAATTTATAATCCCATTCACAACTGATATATATATATATATACATGATTAGCTCGATAACTAAAAAAAAAAAATCACGACCATACCATATAAGTTTCGATATGTAATATATCATCACCATGATAAATTGCTTTGCCACAAAATTAAGAAATAAATTTTTTTACAAAATATCAAAGGTAATTTAACAAATGGGTCCATATGCATACAACGTTTTGGTTACCATGAGACCAAATGTTTTGCTTTTCCTTGGGTCCTCCATTGGGCTAATGGGGGGATAGATAGATGATACATCACATACATCATGAAGTTGATATTATGTTTTTGATGGTGCCACTATTTTATGTGGTTTGATATTTAGGTCTCATTTGGGAAC